CTTTGTGGTTCGTGTAGTGCACCTTCATCAGCGTATACTAATTTGGCGCTTGATATTGTTCGGAATATTCTGTCCCGAGGATCTTGGCGACGATCGCTTGCTTGAAGTCGCCGACGGTTGGAGTAGACGTAGTGGTGTCCAGTGTGAAGTAGTCCTCCTGATGGGGGTCCCAGACATGTAGTAGTAGAAGCGTGTCGCTGATTCCCAAGGGTGTTCCTCCGTAGTCATGTATCTGCGCGACGGCATCCAGTCACCACTGCGTAGAGGTATCCGTATTTCTTGCGTGTTGTAAGGTCTGTTTGCTCTGGTCGACGGTCAGCTCCCTGGTAAGTTCAGCGCATTTGGCTTTGTAGATGTCGATGCGTTTGATGTACTAATTCTTCAAGATGCGGTTTAGTGCGGATGTGACGTCTGCGATCTTGAAGTAGGTCTTGTCATTCGGACCGTGCGCAACTCTGCTAACACTTTGGATCCACTCGTTGTCGTCGCTCAGACCGCGTAGCGTGATGCCCGCCTCCACCAGAGTGATTGGTTGTTTGCTGGCAGCGTCGTCAGTAGCTTGAGAGTGGACCGTGTAAGTGCAGGTGGTCATGATCCGTACTCCTGTAGTTAAAAGCCATCGGCTCGAGGTGGTAGCTAGGGTGGGAACACACTTCGATTGATGATCAGCTAATGCGGTTGTGTACGATCATCAAGTAACTGTCAGGGGCGAGATAATAGCGGGCTGGCGTGTACGGTGAGCGAAAGTATGTAGTGCGCAGGTGGGTTCCCGTGTCCTCGCGGTAGTCCTGTGGTGCCCGAGTCATTGTAGACACAATTTTGACGTTTCGGCTGCCCCCACCAGCCATTCCAAAACCGACGCCCAAGCGAGATGAGACGATCAGGGAAGTGTAGGAGTTCGAGGGAGGAGGAGGAGAAGGAGGAGGAGGAGGAGGAAGTGGAGGAGGAGGAGGAAACGGAAGTGGGAGGAGAGAGGAAGGAGGAGCAAGAATTGGCGGATGAGAATTGGGAAAAAGAGAAGGCAGAGGAACATAAGGGCGACCAACCCTCTTGGAGGCACACTGAATGTCATCTTCAGCCAACTTGGACTCTTTTGGGGCCATCTTGAAGGAGGGAGCCCTTCGATAGCATTTCACATCGCCTCTGGAGATCATGTTGGGGCGCTGTTGAGACGCTCTTGGGCGCTCTTGGGGCCGTATTTGGGGCTCTCGTGGGTTTCTCTTAGTGTTCTTTTGGGCCATCTTGGAGCCACCTTGAGGTATCGGACGGCCATCGGAAGTGGGAAGGCGAACCGTTCATCCAGAGACGATGACCATGCGAATTGCCCTGATCATGGACGTGGAGGGGCATACAGAGGAACACCCGGCTTGGTAAGAGGAGATGGGGGTGGCGGAGCAATAGGATGATGATGACGATGCTAATGATGTTGATGATAACGATGATGATGCCGAGGATGATTAAGATGATGCTGCTGCTGCTGCTGATGGATGGTGATGATGCTGATGATGATGAGGATGATGCAGCTGCTGCTGATGATGATGCTGATGATGATGATGATGATGCTGACGACGATGCTGCTTATGATGAGGATTCTGATGCTGCTGAGGATGATCATGCTGAGAATGGTGGGAATGATGATGACACTGATGATGATGATGTTGAGGTTGATGATGCTTATGCTGATGCTGTTGATGCTGATGATGGCCATGATGCTGCCGACGATGCTTCTGCTGATGATGCTGCTGCTGATGCTGAGGATGATGATGGTGATGCTGATGAACATGCTGCTGATGATGCTGATGATGCTGATGGTGAGGAGAAGGATGATGCTGCTGCTGATGCATATATGCTGATGTTGATGCGGATGATGATGAGGACGATGATGCTGATGCTTCTGATGCTGCTGCTGCTGCTGATGATGCTGCTGAGACGAGGAGGGGGAGTAGGAGCAGTAGGAGTCGGAGGAGGCAGAGGATGTTGAGGAGGATGAGGACAGGGAGGAATATGATAAGTATGACGATGCTGATGAAGATGAGGACGAGGCTGATGCTGATGCTGATGATGCTGATGATGACATGTATGATGCTGATGATGATGACGATGATGATGCTGATGCTGCTGCTGATGCTGCTGATGCTGCTGATGCTGCTCATGCTGCTGGGACGAGGAGGAGGAGGAGGAGGAGGAGGAGGAGGTGGAGCAGCAGGAGGAAGAGGAGGTGGAGGAGGAGGAGGAGGACCGGAGGAATAAGAGAAATAGGACGATGCTGATGGTGATGATGATGCTAATGCTGATGATGATGCTGATGATGCTGTTGATGATGCTAATACTGGTTACGGTGATGATACTGCTGATGGTAATGACGATGAATTGTGATGATCGTAACATGTGTAATGACGGTGATGAAGATGCTGATGATGTTGATGATGCGGATCATGGTGATACTGTCGATGCTACTGCTGCTGATGATGATGATGGTACTGTTGATGATGCTGATGCTGATGCTGACTATGATGATGATGATGATGCTACGGCTGCTGCTGTTGATGCTGATGATGCTGATGATGATGGTGACGATGATGATGAAGATGATGATGATGACGATGCTGCTGCTGATGATGGTGGTGCTGCTGCTGCTGATGATTTTGCTGCTGATGATGCTGATGATGCTACTGCTGTTGCTGCTGCTGATGATGATGCTGATGATGATGATGCTGATGATGATGATGATTCTGATGATGATGATGCTGATGATGATGATGATGATGAGGATGACGATTCCGATGATGATGTTGAGGAGGAGGAGGAGGAGGGGGAGGAGGAGGAAGCAGAGGATGCGGAGGAGGAGGAGGAGGAGGAGGAAGCTGCAGGCTAGGCTCCCGAAAGGAATAACAAGCTGGAACACACGAGGATGTGGAGGAGGAGGAATAGGATGATGATGATGATGATGATGATGATGATGATGATGATGATGATGATGATGATGATGATGAGGATTACGATGCCGATGATGATGTTGAGGAGGAGGAGGAGGGGGAGGTGGAGGAAGCAGAGGAGAAGGATGCGGAGGAGGAGGAGGAGGAGGAGGAGGAAGCTGCAGGCTAGGCTCCCGAAAGGAATAACAAGCAGGAACACACGCGGATGTGGAGGAGGAGGAATAGGATGATGATGATGGTGATGATGATGATGATGATGATGATGATGCTGATGATGATGATGATGATGATGATGATGATTATGATGCTGATGATGATGATGATGATGATGATGGTGGTGGTGGTGGTGGTGGTGGTGGTGATGATGATGATGGTGGTGGTGGTGGTGGTGATGATGATGATGATGATGATGATGATGAGGAGGAGGAGGAGGAGGAGGAGGAGGAGGAGATAGAGGAGGTGGAGGAGGGGGAGGAATTGCAGGAGGAGGAGCGGATTACGCTGGGAAGGGGATCGGGATCCTGTTTACGCCTCGTGGGGGTCTCTGGGGAGCCTCTTGGAGGCCCCTTGGGCGCCTCTTGGGGCCGCCTGGGCGCCTTTGGGGGCCCTCTTTGGGCGCTCTTGGAGCCGTCCTGGAAGACATCGATCAAACGAGGGGGGAGTTTGAATTAGCCCCCCCCTCAGGAGCCCAACACATCGCCTCTTGGGGCGCTGCTGGGGCGCTCTTGGAGCGCCCTTGTGCGCTCTTGGGGCCGCCTTGGAGGCTTCGTGGGCCCTTCTTGGGGCCCGCTTGGGCCATCTTTGTATCCATCCGGAGGCGTCGGAAGGTCATTGGAAGCGAAACAGTTTGGAAGGATTTCGGCCTCTTGGCGGCTTCCTGGGGAGGCTCCGTGGCCACCTGGAGCAGCCTTGGAGCGTTCTTGGGGCCTCCTGGAGCATCTTGGGGAGCCATCTTGAGGCACCTTGGGCTATCTTGAGCCATCTTGGAGGTCATCTTGGGCTCACTGAGGCGCTTTTGGAGCCGTCTTGGGCCATCTTAAACGCTCCAACTACTCGCGACCACCCCCGTCCAAGTCCAGGGGAGGGGGTAATGGGGGAGGGGAGGGGAGGGGGAGGGGTAAGGGGAAGAAGGGGTTGAAAGAGGACGCGCTCCAGACCACCCACGCCCAGAGGGCTGGTGGGATTCTAGACGCTTCGCGTGACCCCACCAGTTCATCCAGAAACGATGCCCAGACGAATTGCTCTGATCAGAGATGCGGAGGATCTTTCAATGGAATACAGGGCTGGGTAAGACGTCATACCCCAAGAGCGGGAGGATGCACGAGGAAACGGGCGAGCAGGAGGAGGTGGAGGAGGAAGCGGAGGAGGAGGAGGAGGAGGAGGAGGAGGAGGAGGAGGAGGAGGAGGAGGAGGGAGAGGGGGCGGGGTCAGGAGGAAGGATGACAGAGGAGGAATAGGCGGATGAGGAAGAGGACCAGGGAGGAGGAGGACCAGGAGGAGGAGAAGGAGGAGAAAGAGGAGAAGGAGGAGGAGGAGGAGGAGGGCGAGCAGAGAGGCCAGAAGCCTCTTGGATATCATTCGGAGTATCTTCGGATGTACAGGGCCCCTTCTGGAAGACTCACAGAAACCTTGCGAGACAGCACCTTGGCATTCCACCACGCCTCACTTTGCCAGGGGACACGATTTTGGACTGGATGTGGGGCTGCCGATGCATCAACACTCAGTAAGCGTATGGCCGCCCGCCGTATCGGAAAGTGACTGGTTGGTATTTCCGCCGTGTTGTGTGCTAGTCTGTTGCTGTGCACCATGTGAACTCACATCATTCTGGCCACTGTTCTGGGGCCTGCAGTTCAGCTCCGCCCAGGCGCGCCAGGCCCCGGCTCTCATCCAGCCAGAGGTCACGTGCAAACGGCCAGGGGAGATGGCTGGGAGATCCCCAGGATGGCGGCCAATGAGGAGCATCAGCAGCTGCGGTAGCAGCAGCAGCAGCAGCAGCAGCAGCAGCAGCAGCAGCAGCAGCAGCAGTCGGATAGCACAGAGGAATGCAACCGCTGCGCGCCTCAGGGCGAGACGGTGCCCGCGAACGAGATTTGGTCCGGCAACCCCGCGGAGCTGGGGGGCTGGGGGGGCTCTTGAGGGCAGTGGTCGTTCCTTTGCACTTCCTGTCAGCAGGCCGCATGTAGTCGAATGTCCCTTCTATCAAGGGAGGAAACAGCACCGGACCCCACAATTGGCGTTCACGCAACGGCCCTGGGCGTTTACTAAACAGCCCTGCCCTGTCTGATTCCTTCTCTGGGAGCGCTTTCTGAACGGCGTCGCGTGTCGGGGTGGTTATTATCGGGATGGATCTCCTGCCCTTTATTCCAGATGGACTCGTGCCGGAGATGTGTCACCCCCCTGGCGGCCTCTTGTGGTGGTGAGTTGCGTGCAGCCTCGACCGTGCGCGTGGCCGGCCGGGAGGTGTCCAGGCGTGGTCGGCTGGAGTCGGGGCGGGAGGGGCAACTGATCGAAGGGGGGGCGGCGAAACAAGCTCTCTCAATAATTCAAAGAAGAAAGAACCACATACACATGAACTTTTGGAGCTGCGCGCGGATCCAAGAAATCCGCGCGGCGCTCCACAAGTTTATGTTTATGTGTCTGTTTTTTCTTCTATTGCCAGTAATGCCGCCGCGCGGAAGGCACAGGTCAGGGCCATTCCGGGGCCACTTCAGGATCCCTTTCGCGCGCTGCGCTTTCCCTGCTGTAGTTGCCCCCCTCGTTGCCGCTCGCCCGAGGGGTGCCGCTCGTTCGAGCCGCGGGCGGGGTGTTGGAGGTTCGTTCCGCTGCCTCGCCTGCCACAGCTTCCGCTCGTCAGCAGGGGCTTACGCGTGCTGCGAGCCGAGAATCAGACGAGGAAAAGGTACGAACGAGCGCGCTCGTGGCACACTTCTCACTAAAAGGGGGGCCCCAGCTTGAAGCTACCCCCTCCCCTCCTTTGGAAAAGAGAAGGGGGGGGCTTCCGAAGCTACCCCCCCTCCCTTCCTTCTGTGGGTATTTCGGAGCTTGGGGGGCCCTAGCTAATGGGGGGTGAGCTTCCGAAGTTACCCCCCTCCTTCTGTTTGGATGTTGTAGCGGGGGGGTCCCTTGCTAAAGAGGTTTGGGGCTTGGCAGCTACCCCCCCTCCCCTCCTTTTCGGGGCCTGAGGTAAACCTGGGCTCTACTTTCCAAGGGGTGGGGGCCTTCCGAAGCTAACCCATCCCTCCCCTCCTGTTGGCTTTTCCCTCTGGGGGGCCCTGGCTGAAGGGGGGGCTTCGAAGCTGCTTTCTTCTTTTGTTTCAGTGCCCGCTGGTTTTCGGCGTACTTGCGATTTTCGGTGTCTTTGGTTTTCGGCGCCGCTTTGGTTTTCGGCGCCCATTTGGCCTTTGGCGCTCCTTTGGTTTTCGGCGCCCTTTCGGCTTTCGGCGGTCGTTTTGTTTTCGGCGTTCCTGTGGTTTTCGCCGTTCCTTTGGTTATCGGCGCGCCTTTTGGTTTTCTGCGCACCCGTTTGGTTTTGGGCGCGTCGTTGGTTTTCGGCGCCCTCTTGGGTTCTGGCGCCCCTTTGATTTTCGGCGCCCTCTTGGTTTTCGGCGCCCTTTTCGTTTTTGGCGGCCCTTTAATTTCCGGTGCTCTTTTGGTTTTCGGCGCCCCTTTGGTTTTCGGCGCCCCTTTTGTTTGTGGCGCCTTTTTGGCTTTCGCGCGCCTTTGGTTTTTGACGCGCTTTGGCTTTTCGACGCCCTTTTGGTTATCGGCGCTCCTTTGGTTTTTCTGCGTTTTTTGGCTTTCGGCGCATCGTTGGTGTTCGGCGCCCATTTGGTTTTCAGCGCCCCTTTTCGGCGTCCCTGTGGTTTTCGGCTCCCCTTTGGTTTTCGGCGCCCTTTTATTTTCGGCGCCCTGTTCGTCTTCGGAGCTTTTATTGCTTTCGGCGCTCCTGTGGTTTTCGGCGCCCTCGTGGTTATCCGTGCCCCTTAGTTTTTCGGCACCCGTTTGGTTTGCGGCGCATCGTTGGTTTTCGGCGCCCCTATGGTTTTCTGCGCTCCTTTTGGTTATCAGCGCCGCGTGGGTGTTCTGCTCTCCTTTGATTTTTCGGCGCCCCTTTGGTTTTCGGCGCACCTTTGGTTTCTCGGCGCTTCTTGGTTTTCGGCGCATCGTTGGTTTTCGGCGCCCCTTTGGTTTTCGGCGCTTCTTTGGTTTTTCAGCGCTGCTTTTCGCCGTCCCTGTGGTTTTCGGCGCCCCTTTGGTTTTCGGCGCCCTTTTATTTTCGGCGCCCTGTTCGTCGTCGGAGCTTCTATTGCTTTTGGCGCTCCTGTGGTTTTCGGCGCCCTCTTGGTTATCCGCGCCCCTTTTGGTTTTTCGGCGCCCGTTTGGTTTTGGGCGCATCGTTGGTTTTCGGCGCCCCTATGGTATCAGCGTCCCTTGGGGGCGCTCCTGTGGTTTTCGGCGTCCCTTTGGTTTTCGGTGCCCCTTTGGTTTTCGGTGTCCTTTTGGTTTCGGCGCCCTCTTTGCTTCCAGCGCATCTTTTGTTTTCGGCGCATTTCTTTTGTGTTCGGCGTTTTTTTTTGTTCGGCGCGCCTTTCGGGGTTTCGTCGCATCCTTGGGTTTCGGCTACCCTATGGTTTTCGGCGCCCCTTTGGTTTTCGGTGTCCTTTTGGTTTCGGCGCCCTCTTTGCTTCCAGCGCATCTTTTGTTTTCGGCGCATTTCTTTTGTGTTCGGCGTTTTTTTGTTCGGCGCGCCTTTCGGGGTTTCGTCGCATCCTTGGGTTTCGGCTACCCTATAGTTTTCGGCGCCCTTTCGGTGTTCGGCGTTCCCTGGTTTTTGGCGCGCCTCTGGTTTTCGTACCCTTTCGATTTTCGGTGGCCCTTTGGTTTTCGGCACTCTGTTGGTTTTCGGTGCCCTTTTGGTCTTCGGCGCACCTTTCTTTATTGAAGGGGTGGTAGTTGGGGGTAGCTTCCAGAGCGCGAAAGGGGGGAGGGGGGGGGGGGGGTAGCTTCCGAGGGGCGGAAAATAAGGAGGGGGGAGAGGGCTTCCGACAGGGGAGGTCCAAGGGGAAGTGAGGGTGGCTAAGCCCCACCCCCTCATGGAAAGGGAGGGGGGGTAGCTTCTGGAGTGCGAAAGGAGGGTGGCGGAGGGAGCCTTCGAGGAGCGGGAACAGAGGAGGGGGGCGGCTGCCAGCAGGGGAGGTCCGAGGTGTACCACGGGCGCCCTCTCTCGTGCGAGCCCATGCCGCCACCTTCGGGCCTGGTCGCCGCCGTCGCATCGATGTCCTGGTCAGAGCGCACCCCAGGACCCTAGGATAGGCCTGGGGAGTACGGGCATCGGTACCTCCTGGCCCCCCCAGAGGAGCAGCAAAGGTGGGAGGCACCCTCTCGCTGCGCCCGCCATCGAGAGAGACAGATTGCTCCGTGGGGCGATGCCGCTCCGGCCGGGACTGTGCAGCAGCAGCCCGCCACGAGGAAGAAGAGGGGTCGTGAGGGAAGCGGGTCCTAGGCGCACAGGGGCTTCCCATTGGGCCCGCTCTCCGTCCCGACCTTCCTCGAGAACAGAAGAACCCCTGACCCTAACCACAGAATGCAGACGTGGCCTCACTGAGGTCGCCTTTTTCGCATCAGGGCTTACAGGTATGGGCGGTCTGGCTCGAGACATCTGCAGAAAGGACCCCCCTATCCCTCATTTTTCGTTGCCCTCCCCTCCCACAGGGTTATGGGGTGCTTTCACTGCTCAGCGGACCTGTCTTGTGGACGGCCCTGGGGGCCCGTGGCAGGCCCCCCAGGGGCCCGACGCCGTTGAGCCACCCCTCTCCTCGGGGCCCCCCTCTCCTCGGGAGCCCTCGCGAGTCGGGATCCTCAGACTCACACACGGTCGGCCCCCTCTGCCCGGGTGCCCCTTTTTGGCCTGTGTGGGTGCCCACCTCGCTCCCGCACAGGCGCCTCGGCCACAGGCCTTGCTTGGGTCCAGGAGCCTCTGGCGTTGCATACATATATATATATATATACATATATACATATATATATATATATGTATATATATATAGACATGTGTGTATATATGGTAAACAAAACGTATAAACAAAAACAAACAAGGGCCCTCGCGAAGTGCGCGGCGCGGGCACGCACCCTCGCGGGCGTGCTCCCTCGCGGAGCGCCCCCTGCCTCCGGCGCTCGCTCGCTCGCTCGCCCGCCCGCCCCGAGAACCAAGAGCCCCTGCAGAAACGGGGCGTCAGGAAGCAGGCCCGGTGGCGAAGGGTGCGCTTTCAGTCGGGAGCCTCGAGACGGGTCAGAGGAGGAAAAGGTACCCATAGCTCTATAGCTCTACCCTCCCCTCGTGTTCCCCCTTTTGGGCCTGCTGCGTGGCCCTCGTCGCCACCGCTGGATTCGCCTCGAAATCCTGGTCAGAACGCTCCCCGGGAGAGGTCCGTGGAGTAGCGGTATCGGTACCTTGGGTTTTTCCCAAAGGGGTCAATGCAAACGGGGGTCAGCCAGAGCGCCCGATTTTGCAGGATCCTGCAGGGTCAGGGTCGCATTGACCCGGGCTTGGGTGCAGGATCTTGCAGGATGTTGCAGGATCCTTCGCATTGACCCAGGTCTGGGTGCAGGGTTTTGCAGGATCTTGCAAGATTCTGCAAGGCCTGACTGACCCGGGTTTGGATTGACCCGGGTCAGAACATCCCCGATTCAAGGGTGTTTTCAAACATTGATTTGCCGCGCATAAGTGCGAGGTAGACCCCCACGCCCAGAGTTCCGATGATGTATCGACGTTTTGATCGCCCCGGTTTATCACGCACTAGTGCGAGGTAAATACCCTGTCAGCCTGTTCTCGTTTGAAGAGGCCCCTCAGCTGCCGCCCCGTTTTCTAACGCCCCGTTTGCAGGGGCCTGGCTCCTCAAGAGCCCTGCTCTCTTCCTGCTCCGAAGTCCCGGAACCGTTGGGCAACCTCCAGGGCCACCGCTTCTTCCAGGACCTGCCCCCCTTCGGGGCCCATTTCGATTCGATCCGATCCGATTCGATGCCGATTCTGGTCGGCCCGATGCGATTCGACGCCGATGGCCCGCCGTTTGCATGGCGCCGTTGTGCAGCTTGGCGCGGCCGGGGACCGATTCGATTCCGACCCCGTACCGATGCGGCCTGATTCGATGTACAGTCCCATCGGATCCGATTTTTCGATGCGATGCTGAATGATCCTGTCCGATTCAGTGCTGACTTATCCTCCTCCTCCTCCTCCTCCTCCTCTTCCTCAAGACCTGCCCCCTCAGTTCGGCGGCGAGCGGGGGGAGGGGAAGTGAGAAGGAGCAGGCCTTCTCAGAAGGCGACGGGCCTTCTCAGAAGCCCTCGCGCCTTCTGAGAAGTCTTCCGTGCCCCTCTGTTTTCGGAAGGCCGGAGACTCCTGAGCCTTCCGAGAAGGCCTTCTCCTTCTCTTGTCCCCCCCTTCGCTCGGCGCCGATTAGTCCTCACAAGATCCCCAGCCCCCCCCCATCACCACCCACCAAACCACCCCAACCCAACCCGCAGGCTTCAATCTGCCATCCATTTCCAGTGGGGAAGGGTCGGGGAACATGGACAAAAACACATGTGGAACCCGTACCCTCCCCAACCCGAAATTCGGGTCTTCGGGTTGGGTTGGGGTGGTCTGGTAGGTAGTCGCCATCGCGCCCCCAGGAGCCCACGAGAATCCGCCGTCCGCGCCTGTGGGCCGTCCCGCCCGAGGAGCCGAGGGCCGCGGCGCCGGTGGGCGCCCGCGGGCAGTACGGGCGAGCGGGAGGAGCGGGGGGGGGGTAAGGAGGGGGGGGCAGGAGGGAGGGAGGGAGGAAGATCAGAAGATGGGAAGGTACCCGTACCCCTACCCTTGCCTCGTTTTCCCCTGTTTGGACAGGGTGCGGGGAGGAGGGGGAGGGAGGGAGGGAGGGAGGGAGGGAGGGAGGGTGGTAATTACGGGGAGGAGGGCGGGTGAGGGGGAGGGAGGGAGGGAGGGAGGGAGGAGGGAGGAGGAAGGAAGGGAGGGGGAGGGAGGAGGGAGGGAGGGAGGGAGGGAGGGGAGGAGGAAGAGGAGGAGGAGGAGGAGGAGGAGGAGGAGGAGAAAGGAGGAGGAGGAGGAGGGAGGAGGCCCGAGGAGGAGGAGGAGGAGGAGGAGATGGCGGAGGCGGAGGCGGAGGCGGGCGGAGGAGGAGTCGGAGGCGGAGGCAGAGGAGGAAGAGGAGGAAGCGAAGGAGGAGGAGAAAGAGGAGGAGGAGAAGGAGGAGGTAATAGGAAGAGGAGGAGGAGGAGGAGGAGGAGGAGGAGGAGGAGGAGGAGGTGGGAGGAGAGAGGAGGTTGGAGGAGGAGGAGGTGGGAGGATGAGGTGGGAGGATGAGGCGGAGGCGGAGGAGGCGGAGGGCGGAGGCGGAGGAGGAGCCGGAGGCGAAGGCGGAGGAGGAGGAGGAGGAGGAGGAGGAGGAGGAGGAGGAGGAGACACGGGGGAGATGGCGGTCGACTTGCAGGAAGACGAGGAGGGAGGAGGTGGATAGCACGAGGAGGTCGTGCTGAGTCGGAGGTCAGAAGGCACATAATTCAGGCAGCCAGGGGCCAGTGCGAGGATTAACCCATACAGTTTTCCCCAACATCCTGTGGTATTGTGTCGTCGTTTTGAAGAGACAGCGCCCCGCGTCCCACTTCCTCCTCCTCCTCCTCCTCCTCCTCTCCTCCTCCTCCCCCTCCTCCCATTCCTTCCTCTGCCCTCCGCGTGTCAACCATTTCGGCACCCCCTTCACACGGTTCGTGGCCCCATAGGGAGCTCCACCGACGGCCCCAGTGGCAGGGTCCGCATGCACCCGACACCCATTTCGGCACAACCCTCACACGGTTCGTGGCCCCACAAGGAGCTCCACCGACGGCCCCAGTGGCATCTTCCGCATGCGCCCTACGGCGATTTCGACACACCCCTCACACTGTTCGTGGCCCCACATAGAGCTCCACCGAGGGCGGCAGTGGCAGGGTCCGCATGCGCCCGACACCCAGATCGGCACACCCCTCACACTGTTCGTGGCCCCACATAGAGCTCCACCGAAAGCGGCACCAACAACGCGGCATTCACGACAGCGTATGGTTGGGTTCTTCGCCAGGATCGTGTCAACCCTATGTTTTGCAAGCTTCGCGTCACACCCGTACGTAGACGGTGGCGGGGGTCCCACATTGGCCACATCATTAGTTGGCAATTCTCGGGGAGGGGGGGCAAAGCGACTTCGACGCTGACGACGACGACAAGAGGGGTTCTTCGCAGGGGTGCACAGGGGGGCTGGTTAGGGAAGCCGACGTCTGGGGGGGGGGGGGGCACTTCTCCAGGCACGCGAAGTGTTTTGGGGGAGTGGTAGGCAATTCCCACGTGCTCAGATTTTGTTTAGAGGCAAGCGTCCACGGCACCAGCTCTCTTTCATATCTGCATATCTTTTAATAACGGTTCACACATGTGTATATGCATGGAGGGAAAGAGATAGCAATCACGAGGGGGATATCCAGATACACATAGAGAGAGAGAGAGAGAGAGACAGAGAGGCAGAGAGGGACCAACATACATATATATATATATACAAACAGAGAGATGCTATATACAGAGGGAGAGGACTAGGAGGGGAGAGGGAGAGAGAGATAACGATACACATTCATACACTTTTATGTTTCTATATTAATGCACATGCGTATGTATACATATGTAGATTGATCGAGAGATATGAGAGAGGTGACGATGTAACGACAGAGAGGTAGAATGGAGCATGCCAGAATTGTTCAAAGACGAAGCCACCGCCTGCTGTGCGCAGGGAGAAGGAGGAGGTCTCATCGGGGTGCGGAGAGGCGACGCGGGAGGAGGAGGAGGAGGAGGAGGAGGAGGAGGAGGCGGAGGAGGAGGAGGAGGAGGGACGAGGAGGGACGAGGAGGAGGGAGGAGTGGAAGAGAGCGAAGGGAGACGCCTGCAGGTGGGCATCACCGTTGTCACCCCAGCAGAAGATCAACACGACCTGAGGACACCGCTGCTTCGGGCTTGACTGCTCCGCACCCTGTCCGACCAGAGCTTCCGGCGCCCTGGAGCGGAGCCCCGGGCCGCCCCGGACCCCGGCGGCCGGAGGCCGAGCCTGCGAGGTCGCGCATCCGGTCCGCGACCTCTTTCTCTTTGGGCCTACCCCTGCGGGTCCAATCAGCATCGGAGAGCATCGCCGCTGGGGTTCACTCGGCTGCAGAGTGCATCGCCATTCTTCCCCCCCAAGCCAGGTCTGCCAGAGCCGTGACCTGTAGGGGCAGGGTTCAGATTCCCGCGCGGACGCCCCTGGTCGCTGGCGATTGTGGTCTGCAGCGGAAGACTTGCCAGCGGCATCCCGAGTTGTAGCCGGGCTGGATCTG